GAAACCTGTTCTGATGTGAAAGAGGAGGTTGGGTGTTTGTGTCAGCTGTATTGAAGGTCAGCAGCCCTGATCTTTCTTTGGGGGGCACCAGGGGGACGCTGTAGTTATGTGAGGCATTCAGCCGAGCCACCATGACCTCATTTCACAAGACGGACCCGCAAAAAAAAAAACAAAAAAAAAAACACAACAGGCTAAGCTAAATCAGACCGACAGGTGTGGATAAACAGGAAGTAAGTGAAGACAAGATGAAGCAGTGGCTTCATGCTGGTGGACAGCCGCAACTATGACGACAAGGCCGTAAAATGTCAGAGACGTAAAGCTACAAGATGGATCCCTTTAATGTCAGTGAAACAGAAGCTGGGGGCTTCAACTCTTTCTGCTTTGTAAAAACACAGAGATTCTGTTTAAACTCAATTCACTGTTTTCCATTTCAAGCGTAATTAACGCTTTACTCCGATGAGATCAGTGGAAGGTCGACCCTTTTATCATTCCTTTGTTTTTCTTCCACCCCCAACAGAAATCTTATCCGATATTCTCAAATCCATTCCTTCCTTTCCCCCTGCGTTGCCTTCTTGACCTTCCTCCCCCTCTTCCTCTGTCTTGTACTTTTACAGTTCACCTCAGGAATCCTGCCTTCTCAGCTGTCCAGTGGTGTCCCATGCCAACTCAATTTAGCCTCCGCCGCCTTCGCCTCTTCTTACGCCTCCTTGTTGCTCCTTTGGCTCCTCAGCTTCCATCCTCAAACACTGCCTCATCTTTTGGCGAGGGATGGGCACGGGGGTCTGTGGGCTGGATTAGCGGCCTGTCTAAATTTGGTCATGCATGACAAACGAGCCCAGCACCTGCTGGTTGGACAGGCGGCCTCTCCTCCTCCTCCTGAGACCCTTACATCAAATTACACTGGAGCCTGGGAATTCCTGTCAGTCCGCACACTGAAAGTCTCTTTAACCTTTGAAATAAAAAAAAAAATAAAAATTGGGAAAGATGTACGGCATCGTTCTAACCTAAAAAATATTACGTATGCTGCTAGAATAAGTCAAAACTATCCCAAAAGATTTTTGACTTAATACGTACTGTATGAAAATACGATCAACAGACAATAATTTGGACTTTAATCCAAAGCGTTTCACATCATTATAATCGATGCGGCGAGGAAGTCTTACTGGTTTTTATACACCGACAATCAAATCGTGTCCATCAAATTCATTCGATAGAAATCATGGGATTTTTATAATTTTTCTTATCTTAGAAGTATTCCTTAAATTTAATTTAGTTTCAATAAAAAAAAAAAAACTTTACTTCATCACAATGGCAGATCTGACTAGCATTTTAATGCCATTCAAAGACACTGATTTAACTTTTTATAGGTTTATGTTTGAGTAAAATGAACATTGTTCTTTTATTCTGTGAACTACTGACAATGTGTCTGAGATTCCAAGCAGAAATTTAGCATTTATTTGCAGAAAATGAGAAATGGGTCAAAATAACAAAAAAGGATGCAAAGAAAACAAGTTCATATTCATTTAGAAACAACAATACTAATGCTTTAACTCAGGAAGAGTTCAGAAATCAATATTTGGTGGAATAACCAGGAGGTTTTCAGTGGGGTTCAGTGCAGTGGGCTCTTTGTTTTTCCAGAGCTGTATTCTCCACACAGCGTGTCCCACTTCTGTTTATATTGTCTACATGTTATTCAAATTGACCACACTGACTCAATAATAACATCAGGTTATCTCCGGTTAAATATGCAGATGTTCTTCCTGCTCTGATGAAAACTAATTTCAAAACAATTTACACTGGTAGACTTTGGATAGGACTTTGAACTTTCAGCCAGAGATGGTCAGGAGATCATTAATGATGAGAAAACGAAAGTAATGCAGTTTTTCAGATGTTTAGTCTTCGCTGTTTAACCTGTACGATTAAAAATGTTTGACTCACAGATCAGAACAATGCTGCTCTGCAGTTCAGCTAAATTCGGAAAACACAAATAAAAAAATTGCTTTTCTTCCTGCACTGAGAAATGTTCTTTAACCTCCTGATCCATTGTCGTCTTCCATCCCGTCACTTTGATCTGTCACCGCGAATATATCTGTTTTTAACTTTCCCCTGCGTCCTGTCTCAGTGAAGACGCCAGTGTCGCCCAAGTAGAGAAACGAGGCTACAAACATACACCCAATCACCATGTATCGACGCTTGTTTGTTTGTTTTTTTATTTCTGCATTTCCCCAAAAAGCCTGTTTCAGCTCTAATTAATACACGCTGCGCGCCTCACTCCACCCACACATTCATTTCTTGTTAGGCATTCAGCTCTTGCACTTATTCTGCTTCCACTCCCCCACATTCTCCAAACACTGCCAAAATTTCAGCTCTACAGTAAAATAAAAAAAAAAAGCCCCAACACGTCCTCAGTCTCCTGAATTTGAACTTGCATATCCTGTTTTCAGATTTGAGCTAAACACCATGAAAGCCTCTTAGAAAAGCCATTTAGCGAGTGATTGAATGGTCTAATGGAACCAGTAAGCCGTCACTTACGTGCACGACTTTATGCAATTAGGCAGTTTTCAGACAACACAGGGACATCACTACATCCTGCTCAGTTTATACAGATAATGAACTAATAAGTAGGAAATGTGGAATTACAAAGACACAACTTCTGCTTATTGCTGAACACAACACAAAGGGCAAAAAATAGCTGGGTACTTTTCTTTAGAATAACATTTCTGATTAGGTTTCTCCTCATTTTCAACTTTTTCACTGTTGACACGCACTAGAGACACCGTCACATTAAAAAAAAATCTCAGATCAGGGTTTCTCCCAGTGTATTATAAGCCTGGTGGGCCACCAGGCTTTACTTGTGACCCCACAAGGATTAGCATTGCTTATTTAAGACATTGTTGTTGGTATTCAGGTGTTAATCTTCCAATAACACGTAATTATTAAGTGATATTTTCAAATTTCCTATCAACTTTAAGCATTTTTTAACTCAAAAACACGACGGGCCACTGGATGAATGACTGCCGAGCGCAACAACCATCAGGTTTAGCAATTTTTCTGGGGGAAACCTTGCAGATTAGACGTTAGTAAATAGATCCTTTGCCAAAATTCACACTTTAAGTACTTTCTGTGTATCGTAATTTAAGGTTTAAGCCGATCCATTAAGCCAGAACTATTCTTATCTATAGACTGCGTTGCTCTGAGGCAAAGATTCCCAACATAGTGTGAAGCTAACCAGAGAAAGATTATCACTTTGTCAGTTCTTTCTTTGCGGCCCACCTCCTTATGGTGGGGTGCTTTTCTGCAACTAGAGGTGAGAGATGAAGGACAATTACAGGCAAAAGATGAAGGACATGTACATTTTTCCCACCTTTATGTCTTATTTGTAATGTAATTATTTATATTTCAATGAGCAAATTGCCTGAAAATACTCATAGTGTTGACAACACCTGTACAGTGGAACTGAAAATGGCTAAACTTTGGCTGTGATGGTCTAAGACATGTGTCAAACTCAAGGCCCGGGGGCCAAATCCGGCCCGCCATAGCTTTTCATGTGGCCCTCTAGACTGACAATGACATCAATAAGTCCTTCCGGTTTTTCATAAATCTGCAAAACTCCACAATTTTTTTCAGATTTTATAGTACATTTTCTCAAAATTAATCAGAGACATGGAGTTTCACTGACAGCTGCCTCAGCCTTACTTGATGTCAAGTTATAGTGCATAACTGATACTGCGAGTAACAAAAAGTCACAATCAACACATTAGAGCAAATATAAAAATTCCTTACAAACGTTTCTAAATTGGCACCATAAAATCTGTAATGTGATTGCAACCAAAACAACCACAAAATCTTGGAGGAAAATCTATGTATTGATAATTTAACAGTTTATTTGGTTTTATCAATACATTCTGGCACAACTGGCCCTTCAAGAACATTCAGATTTTTGATGTGGCCCAAAATGAAAATGAGTTTGACAGCCCTGGTCTACAAAATGATGTTTGAATTTGCATCAAGCTTGTAGAATCTTTCCTAAAAGGAGGTCGGGCTTCCTGAAATGTTTTTCAAAAACTAGTAACAAAAAACACACAAAAAAATGTTGCTTATTGTGTTGCGAGTGGTGGGGAACAATTTAAACGCTCTGAGACTTGAGGCGGTTGAAGCTAACACTAGCTGCTAACACGCTCTTACTAGCTAGCTAGCTAGTTGTGTCTCTCCAGGGTAATGGGCCTGACACACGGGGAGCGACGGCGACAGGTGAAAGTTGAAACAAGACGCACCGAAGTCGTTATCGTCGACAGCGCTAAACATTTGAACATTTTTTAAACCTTCTTGTGTCACGTTTGCACATCTACGTTTACGAGCACAAACTTTCTTGTGTCGTTGAGAGGCGACGATGCGTGTCGATTCTTTTAAGCGGAAACGTATCGCCAGTTGGCCGGAGGACGTTCGTTTTCACTTCCGCTACCAACTCTTCAAAGGCTAGATGCATTTTGTGCAAAAACAAAAACAACCTTTAAGGTTGGCACCGTGGGAGGGAATATGCAGTGGGAGGATTAGAATAACAAAGACGCTGCCAAGAGCCACAAACATTTCAACATTTTTGCCGTGCGTGATTGTAATGCAGCAGGGATACCCAAATCATCTCCTATGTTTATGGTTTCGGGTTTAATTTCATTCAAGGCGGAGTTAAAAAGTGAAATTTGACGTGTAGAAACCCTGTAAAAAGTAGCTAACAACAAAAGCCGGCATGAGAGTAAACACGAGCTGTCATAAACGTCAAAGTGTGTTTTCCCTTCCACTGGCTGCGAGGTCTCAAACAGCCTCGCTCAGCAGTTTTTCAGCCTGGTCTTAAAAAATTCACACCCAGCTGTGTGAATGTTTTGCTTTGTTTCTCTTTTACCTGCTGCTTCTGGACTGCTAATGTGTGTGAGAGAGAGCACAGGCTGTAGAGTTGCTTGGGCAACACCGTTACATTTTTGCCTCACCATGCGTCTCCCTTTCAGACCTTCACAGCTTGGTGCAACTCCCACTTGAGGAAAGCTGGAACACAGATCGAGAACATTGAGGAGGATTTCAGAAATGGCCTCAAACTCATGCTGCTGCTGGAGGTCATTTCAGGTACGCCTCATTACAAACCAGCTCCTCCCTTGAGCCTTCCCTCATTCCTGACGTATTTGGAGTGACTCCCCAACCTTCTGTGTGCATTGTTTTTTTGTTGTTGTTTTTTACAAAAACAAAGCGGAACATAATTAAAATGTGATTCAGAATTACTTTTGTGTTGTTGCAAATCAGCGACATGGCTCATCTAGAGTGTTTGTCTTTCAGGCGAGAGGCTGCCCAAACCCGACAAAGGAAAGATGCGTTTCCACAAGATTGCCAACGTGAACAAAGCTCTGGACTTCATCTGCAGCAAGGGGGTCAAGCTGGTGTCTATTGGTGCAGAGGGTGAGGGTCCCATCTCAGGGTTGTTGTTCCTATAGCCCCCCTTTAGCCCACCTTTGTAAATCTACTCAAACAAATAGGATAATTTAAACTTAATGGAAGTTGGAAGATGGGTTTTTTTCTTTCAATTGATTAGGATCTGCCTCAAGCTGAGAAATATGTTTTAGGGATGTAAATACTGATAGTATGTATAGGAAGTGAGCAAGTTTATATATATATATAGATTATTTTTTTTCCTGGCATTTTCAGTATCAAACAGAACCAGAAAGAGTCATGCAGGAGAAGGATCTCTCTAAGTCTCTGTGTTTTCTTCTTTGCTCTGTTTGTCTGGACAGAAATCGTCGACGGTAACGTGAAGATGACCCTTGGTATGATCTGGACCATCATCCTGCGCTTCGCCATCCAGGACATCTCTGTGGAAGGTGTGTGTGTGTGTGTGTGTGTGTGTATGTGTGTGTGTGTGTGTGTGTTTTACAGAAAACATTCAATTCACAAACGCACACCTGCTGCTTGAGATACATTCCACATAAACAAGGCAACATGTTGGAAAAAAAACGATTTATTTTAAACAGTAACTCCTGGTTCTTAAACATTTCTCTACTTCCGTTTCTACTCTGACGTTTTGTTCAGCCTTTTTTTTTTTTTTTTTGTTAATTTCTCTCCCTCCACTATTTCAGAGACCTCCGCTAAAGAAGGTCTGCTGCTCTGGTGCCAGAGGAAGACTGCCCCCTACAGGAATGTCAATGTGCAGAACTTCCACATCAGGTTAGCCTGCACCGCCCCCCTGTGGCACAAATGGGCTACTGCACTCTTAACATCTCAGTCTCTTCCTTCTTCTTGTGTTTTGTCGTCTTTTTGGGGGTTTTGGAACATGTTTGCACCATGTTTTTTTTGTTTGTTTTGTTTTTACGTACAGCTCTGCTCTGTCTGTGTCTCTTTACGACCTTTATGACCTGATCTACTCTCTGGGTTGTTTCTCTTCTCTTCCTTCGTTGCTCAGCTGGAAAGATGGCCTGGCGCTGTGTGCCCTCATCCACAGACACAGACCTGACCTCATTGACTACTCCAAACTGAGAAAGGTGCGCCTTCTTTTCCTCCCTCTGCCTCCTTCTTTTCTTTCTTACAACCATTTTTTCCCTCTGTTCCTCTGTTTCCTGCTTCCCTCTTTCTTGTCTCCTGTCTCCTTCTGTTTCCCTCCTTCTATTTCTGTGTTGATCTTCTACATTTTCAGCTTCATGTGTAAGTAGAATATAAAATCTGCGTATGTGCTAAGATGCTAGTAAGAGCACAAAGTGCAGATGAAAAACAGAGGCAAACTGTTAATTTGTTGAAATTCCAACGATCAATTATATTGCAGCACTGCTTCAATAAAATCACACATTTTGAGTTTTACCAAATTTCATTTGTTCTCTCCTTTTCTTTATTTTCTAACCATTTTGTATTTTCCCACTTAAATCTGGATTAGAGCTTGCACCATGTTTCACTGAGAAGTGTTTTTAGCTTTGATGGCTAAACGGATACGTCTCGTGTTTAAGTTCTAGTTATTAACATTTAATAATTACCCGCCTTCAGGACGACCCCATCGGTAACCTGAACACGGCCTTCGAAGTGGCCGAGAAGTTCCTGGACATCCCCAAAATGCTCGACGCTGAAGGTGAGGCCGTGACGGAGAAACCGAGCGAACTGAGAGTGAACATATTTACTGTGGGACTCTGGTGATGTCGATATGGGTTAAAACACACCGTGACGTTTCCCAGAAGGATGGACTACTGCTGTAATCCTGAGCAACCGGCCTCAAATAGCCAGGAAACGTTTACCAGCGTTTGTTATTATTCCTTCAGGGAAGCATGCAAGCAGCTGGTGTCCTTCACTTTATCCACTCAGCTCTCATTTTAGGTCGATTGGATCAGGCTGTTTTTCTGGGGAGGAAAAAAAAAACATTTAAAATGAATTAAGTTGTACCGAATGCAATGTTTTTCAAACAATATTGTGTTTTTGGAAAGCCGAGTTATTTTTAATCTCTCTCCTTTTTTTTTTCAAATCTCCGTCAGATATCGTGAACACACCCAAACCTGACGAGAAGGCCATCATGACCTACGTGTCCTGCTTCTATCACGCCTTCGCCGGAGCCGAGCAGGTCAGATTTATGGTTTCACTTTTCAC